TGAGCACTTGTAACTATTTGACATTAATTGTTAAGTGAAATCACTCTAATATTTTGTAAGCAGCAATGTATTAAAATTACCTTATGTGCTGTTACTACGGCCATATATTTCTCCTTGTATATTGTAAATATTATTGGCTTAAAAAATGTTCATTTTTGGGATCAAAGAATAGGTTGTTCCATCCTTCTTAACTGATGGTGTAGAGAAGAAGATATATTTGAGGCTTATTTCTTACTTTTCCTTAAAAAGTTAAAAGTTATGAACAGAAGTTACCTAAGTCCTAGCATTATGGTTGTGTGAAAAACCGCTCGTTTACTTCAGTTCTTGATTGGAAATATGAACTGAAAACTACAATGCTTGTACTTGTGGTAGACATGGGGTTTGGAGATATTTAATAAATCACTTCGTCTTTAAACATACATTTAAAGTCCTGAAAACTCTGACAAGCCGGTGTCTGCCAGAATATTATCAGTGTTCAATTTGTAGGATTCCATCGACCATTTGCAACAAAGACTACAATTATGTCTGCAGTAAACAACAGGGGCACCCAACGGCAATTTTCGGGAAAATATCTGTTCGGAAGACGATTTGAGATCTAGAATTTCGGAGCATTTGTTGTAAAATTTCTTGCTTGCCTGCCTCTCCTAGGATTTTCGAACATCTACAAAATGGTATAATTACCCATTTTTAACGGATTTTTTTTCCTAAAAAAGGCCACCTAGAATTTTCGGGAGCCTTTCCCTGGCTGAAATTTTCGAGAAGGTAAGTTTTTATCCCTATAATTTTCGGATCACTAGACTTTTAGCTAGGAAATCCGAACAGATGAAAAGTTCTTAGGGGATAAAAATATGCCTATATCTACCGTTTGAATACTAAAATACGTTCAACAATGCTATGTTAAGTGGTTTTGAACTATATCCTCGTTGGGTGCCCCTGAAACAAGAAGGGGCCAATAAATGGTGTTTCATTGCATCACTCCTTAAAGTTTCCTGCTCACATCTGCAAGATTTAACTAAAATCTCCAGCTTCATACCCTAGTAAGTGTCGAAAGTTACCATCAGATGATCAATGTAACAACGAAAACACAATCAGCAGGAACATGCCTTTACCATCCACAATCCAGCTGACTTATTGTTCTCCAACTTGATTGGAAGCACGCTTCATATGTGGACAACACAACAAATGAACAATTTTATTTTTCGCTTTCTATTGGTTCAAAAGGTGCACGTGACGACGGGAGTTACCTTGTGGGAAACTGGTAACTAGTCAGCTCAAACATCAAACATGGCGGGTAATCCGTTCGGTGATCGAGTTTAGTGAGTCTTAAAAGCGGTGGTTTTAAGAGCTGAATGAAATAATCCAAAGCTTTTGAGGTGTCAGCAGCGAGGGAAAAATTCGCATTGTTTTTTTTTGCAAGAAACGATAGCCTTACTTACAAGGCTTCAACGAAAGACATGTTGTAGGAGTCTTGTAAACATTGGTTGGACTAGCTCAGGTACGAGAAGACACTTTGAATATCCCAGTTGCTTACTACACTTGTGGATCAAAAGCGTTTTTTCCGATGAGAAAATTTCATGCAAAATATCTCAGAATTTACGAAGCTGACTTTGCGATCGCTGAGGTACATGCAGACTTCAGTATTATGGAGAGTGAATAGGTAACTCGAGCAGAAGCCCCTCGATCTTCCTAGGTAAATCGCGCTATAGAATCTAAGGCGTGTTGTCTACTATGGAGAAGCAGTTTTTTTTAGGGTTTTTGCCGGCCTCTTCAGTTTTATTTTATTGTCTATTGTAATCCAGAACGTTTGTTTTTTTGTAACTAATAAAGAGCTTTATTTATTTATTTAGCTTGTTAGGTCACAAAATCGAGAGAATAAGCAGATAGCGAGCCACGAGGTTCAGTCTCTTGTTAAAACCCTCCATCAAGTTTGGCTTGTTTGCGAAACACGTGCAAAGATTCCGTTGTCTGGCCCAGAAACATCGTTGACGACTTCGCGTCTCTTGTCTTTCAGGCGATCGAGACGGTTATGTGGAAACCACCAATCATTCCAGTCGTCCTGTTGATGGCAAAATTTTTGAAACGACTGGGGCGATCGGGACGATTCGGACGATCATATGAAAACCAGGCTTATTTTTATAAGTTGATTAAAGTAAGAACAAAAAGTTCTGGCCCTGGTTAATAATAATAATAATAATAATAATAAATACTTTATTTATACTGCAAAAAATAGCAGCTCAGTATGAAAAAACAGCTGGTTTAAACCTATGTGCAGTTAGTAATAAAAATTATTTCAAGATTAAAAAGAAAAAAACCAATAGTACATAGTAAAAAAGCGAGAGACTAATATTTACAATAAAAAATGTGTTAAAAAATTAAAATGAATTAATCTACAGTGTATATTTATGCTGTGTTTTGTCTTGTTCCTTCAAATACTTAAATTATTTGTCTTTCTCTTGTTCAAAAGGTGATTAACGCAACCCACTGGAAAAATCTCTTTCCTGGTGGATAACACAATTGTTTCCAGTATTACTTATTCTCTGGATAGTGATTTATCCGCAGGATAGCTCTATCCAACGTTTTACCAATCGGAGCCTGTTTACTATCGAGAAATAAGATTGTCAGACGCGGCGATACTAATCACTCAATTCTGAACAACATAAGCAGCGTTCACAATAGGTGCACGGATGCGGTGCTCGCAAGGCATGCACTAACGTGAACACTCCCTTTTCCAAAAACCAAGCTACAATTTGGTCACGGTGCGGGTACCCGAATACAGGGTCTCGAACTTGTGCTCTGGCAATAAAGTGTTCAATGGGTCCCCGAGTGCACACGCCCGGTTTCTGTCGTTGGTTCCGAGTGATCCAATCGTTACTACGCCCACGTTTCAAAATGGCTTCTGACAGGGCAAAATAGAGCAAATATGTACACAGTTACAAGTCGGGGTACCAAAGGTGTGAACTCAACACCATTTTGTGCCGGTAATTTTAACAGTCGCTTATACTCAGTTTAGGCGAAGTTACACATGTAGTCCAATGTTCCATGACATACTAGACCTAAGCATATTTTTGAAAGTCTATTTTCTACCTGAATCCAGAATGCAATCTCTTATAAAAGCAAATAAATCCATGCAACGCAATTTTTCTACTACTGAAGATTAGTTTTTGGCTTGTCAAATGAAAAATTTTTGATTTAGACAGATGCAATATTTTTATTGTAGCTTTTCTACAAGAACGAAAGGCAAATTAACAGTAAGTGCAGCATGATAGAGCAGATATGCTTATTTATGTATCGGCTCCTAAGGAAATCGTTTATATTTTTATCATTTGTTGGGGAGGGAGCTGGTGGGATTTGCAGAGGGGATGCATTCCTAAAAAATATGTCTTCAAAGGAGAGCCAGTCGAAAAAATATGGTGTGTAAATAGGACCCCAAAAAAGGCCTCTAAGTTTTGTAATAAAAACCAAATAATGACATCTCTCTTAAGAATTAGCAAAAATTCTGATATAGAGAGAGGCCATTTTATATTTCAGAAACTACTTTTTAAATCCCGCCACCTTCCACCACCCTATGGATATTATATCTCTCTAAATTTCACGGTTTCAGATGCCCAAGAGGCTAACTATGACAGTGTTTTTGTGTCTCCTTTGGGATTTGACTCCAGCAACTGTGGAACCGAGGTTCGCCCTTGTCAGACCATCACCAAAGCTGTTCGCCAGGTGAGCTGGGGAGGAAATATATACCTTAATGGGAGTGGGACCGAGAATGTACTTTACAACTGTGGCCAATCGAAGGAGCAGCCGGACTTAAATATCAAGAAAAGTTTGAACATCATAGGATTCTTGTTGCCACGCGTGTACTGCGAGGGGGGATTTCATTTCCAAAAGGAAAATGATGACCGGCAGATACAGGTGAAATTATCGGGGATCGTTTTCAGCCGAACGTCTCTCAGTTTTGAAGATTGTCAGCGCGTAACAATTGACAACTGTACGTTTCTTGACGGTTTGGAAGTTCTGAGTGTTTATTTACCGAACGTTTCTACATTTCATTTGGATATCACAGGATACTCATTATTTCAGAACAACTCGTTATGCCTCATGCTTCTTTTCCAAGAAAATGTCAGAAACAATATCAGATTTGTGACAGTCAATATAAATGATACAAATTTTATAAGGAATGGATACCACTTTGAACCTCGACGTCGTTATCACTGGGGAGGCCTGAAGATTTTATCAAAGGAAACGAATGCTATAAAAAAGGAGCACATCAATATCTCTTGCAATGGAGTTAAATTTTTCGACAACAATGGATTCTTTATAGACCTTTACGTTCCAAACGTAATGACAAACGAGATACATAAAGATTTGAATTTGACGCTCAATAAATCTCCAAGGGACACTAACACTCTTTATTATTCTATAGCGAAAAAACCCCACGTGAAGTTTATAGCCTTACAATGCTCTAGCAGTCCATCTTCACGGTGTATTAAAATCCAGTCTGACAAAGCAGAAGTTGATATCCAGGGATCTCTCTTCAACAACATTTTTCAAGCTCTGTATCTTGACTCGAGGATCTGCGCATCCTTAAGAATTTTCAGATCAAGGTTTATCAAAATTAGTGCAGCTTCCGATGGTTCATTGTTTGCTACAAGCTCACGAGGATTTCTCAAAATCAACATTACCAGTGTCTTGTTGAGAACATGCAAGGCCAAGAAGTATGGATGCGTAATAGTGATAGGGAATCCAAAAGAAGGATATGGGCGTCGACATAACGAGTCCATTCCGGATGAATTATATTTCACTCTCAGAGATGTGACAATTGAACAGTGGGCCGGTAGAAATTCCAAATGTTCAGCTGTATATATTCTTCATAAAGGTGGAAAGGTGACAATAGAAGATTCAAGGTTTTATAAAAAGAGGTCAACATCAGTGGATGGTGCTTTGAATGTGAAGACGATAGGAGGAAAATCTAACAACACAGTTTCAAACTGCTCATTCATAGATAAATGCGTGTACAAAAGACGAGCGACCAAATAGTGGCATCAAATGGAAATGCCGGTATTGTAACAATATCAAACTCCCACTTCATAAGCAGCGAAAAGAAACAGAAGGCGTTATTGTTAAGTCCCAAATACCACATGAGATTGGTCAATATATAACAGTGATATCATTTCGTTCTGGATTCCAGGTACTATCATCGCCTCCCAGAAATGACACTTTTCCGATTGATATCTACGTCGACAAATGCACTTTCATGAATAACATGTTTGATATGCTGTTGACTCTCCTTGATCCAACCTCAGTCTACATAACCATTCAAAACACCATTTTCATTAGTACTGAGACAATTTTTCGAAAAAGTTATGCTATTCGGCTTAATATTCCACCCCTGGAAAATATCAGTTTAACAAATGCAGTCATAAAGTTGGACAATGACACTTTCCAATCAAAAACGTCAAGCAACTTTGCTCTTTTCTTTAAAGGAAAGAAACGCGTGACAATAAAGGGGTGTAAGTTTCTAAACTGCTGGTATGCTTACTCGAATGTACAGAGGTGGACGATACAGGAAACGGACGATTTTTATGAAACAGGTTCTGGTCCTATTTCGATATTGACGTTCGCTGATAGAGCTTTGAAGAGTGGATGTCTTCACTCAAACACTATTGATGACACACATGCTCTGTGGCAATACGAAAGTCGTGTAATATTCGAAGATACTGTGTTTAAGCAGAACGTGGGCACATAAGTAACGGATTCACCAGGTTTATTAGATGTGTCTTTCAAGATAATTTTGGCATTCAACAGAGCGGGCACATTTATTCTGCATATGGAACTGGTAGAGTGGACTTGGAAGATTGTTTATTCTCTCGAACGAAGAAGACAACTTTGATATCTAATGTTTCCTACAATAACGCCATTTTCACATATTCTGAAAGTGGAGGGCCTTTAATAGTTAAAAACACGTCTTTCACATCAGTGGTCCCTGCAAGGAGCAACTTTCAGACTCAGGTAAATTAAGGCATGGGTCCCCAATGATTCAGTCAAAAAGTGATGGGGGGTGGTCTATCTCTGAGCACTTAAGCAGTAGAAAGATGAGACTTTGTCAGATACATACATGTGTGGTTTCTGTCAAATAGGTGATTTTCAATTATGCAAATGTTGTCACGTGACTCCACACGGCCAGAAAGCAATAAAAAGTCTTTAAACAAAAATGGCAACACTTTTTGTTGTGAGTTATTAAACCGGACTGGTTTACAACAATGTGTAATGCAAGCATCTACAAAACTGTGCTTGGCCTTTTTTGAATTTTTTACTGTTTTAGAAAATAAACGGCTTTTTCAACTAGACCCAGTCCCCCCAAGCAATTATATCCCATCTTAACGCCGTCGATTTTAAATATCTAAAAAAGGCCAAGCACAGAAATGATATATTAAAAGGCCTTAACATCATGCAACCGGTAAAATAATTGACGACACACGAGAAAGTGTTGCCGTTTCAAGAAGAGGCTTTTTCAGCCGGTGGAGGTCACGTGACCTAATTTGCATAATGTTAAAGCATGAAATTGACACAAACTAAAAATGTGGGTAGCTGGCAAAGTTTCATGTCTCTTCATCTAAAGCTCTTAGGTATAGACCACCCCCTCACTTTTGAAGAGAGCAAATTCAGGCAAATTGAGGCCCATGCGTTAATTTACCTGAGGATGTTTGACATTTCTGGTGGCGGGTACGTCTACGTGGATGATAAAACCACAATGAGGTGTAGCAAGGGAAGTAAGCTATTATTCGAAAATGCCACCCATATTATATATACGGAGGAAAAAGGCGTTTCTTGTAGAATAAACGTTACTGTTTTGAAGTACTCTTGTGTTTCATGTCCACCAGGTTATTATAGCCTCCAAAAAGGAACTTCACGAGGATTATTTGTTAATTCCACTGTGGAGTGTCTTCAGTGTCCATTCGGTGCCAGTTGCATTGAAAGAAATATAGCTGCAAAACCAAATTTCTGGGGTTATCAAGCAAGGAATAGTCGCCAACAGCAACTGCAATTTTCTCCTTGTCCGGAACATTACTGTAAAAGTCCATCACAGGATTCAAAAGAGTCAAGAGAGAATGAGCTAGATCATTCTCTCTTGAAAGAGTGTAACAGTTGTCATGGGAAAAGAAATGGTACTCTCTGTGGAAAGTGCGCCAAGGGATTCACAGAATCTCTGTTTTCAACCGAATGCTCTAAAACTACAGAATGCAACAGTTATTGGATTTGGGTTATGATGATGCTTTTGTCATTCAGATTGGTGCTTTATCTTTTGATACGATCGCCCATTCTGAATTTCCTTGTACATCAGAGCTTTTGGTATAGAAGAGACAACGCCCATCAAGTAAGACAACACGAAGACTCAGACAGCGGGTACATCAAAATAATATTTTATTTCTACCAAGTTGCAGGGCTTCAGATTGACACAGCCATGAAACGTCAGCTTAAAAAATTGCCCTTTTTGCCTTCGTGATT